CATTGTCCAAAGGATCTTTAAAAGATAATCATTGTCACAGCCTTATTGGTAAGATAATAGGAAAAATTGGGTCTTGGGAGGCCCTCTATTTGCCTTCTGTGAGCCGTCTACAGCTGCTTCAATCAATTATAGGTTCCTCTGCAATATTTTGGGTATTATTTTTTCGCTTGTCGCGCCATACTTGCAATATGATGAAGAGGCTACAACGGGATTTCATCTGGGCACGTTCTGCAAAGAAAAGGGCCTTCATCTTGTCAAATGGAAGACGGTTTGCTTAAAATTGGAAGAAGGGGGTCTAGGCCTTCATGACATTTCTGACTTCAATCTAGTAGGCATGATGGACAATCCTCTGGGCACGTCTCAAATTACTTGTGTGGTTCTCCTCAATGTTGGGATCTTCCATCAACAACCTCTGCTTCTCTTTTTTGAGCTTGGGAGGAGAACAAATCTTTCAAGGTCCCACTACAACCTAGCATGATTTCCTTGTTTGGGTGCATACTTCTTATGGTTGTTTCTTAATCAAATATGCTTGGGGCTCCAATAGACACAGAGGCAGCCCCCAACCCACTATTAAGACACTTTGGTCATCCTCCTCTCATCCCTGGGCAATGTGGTTTTCCTGGTTGTCCCTTCACCAGCATCTCCCAACAACAACTCGTTTACTGACCAAGGGAGTCATCTTGGCATCCACCTGCCCCTTTTGTTGTAACAATGATGATAACTATAACCACCTCTTGCTTTAGTTAGTGCGCTTTCTCACAGGTTATACGAAACCCATTGCATGAGGGTGTGGCAAAAGGCTTCCACCAAAACAATTTGTTCCACTCATGCTTAGCAAATGGATAGCATACCAATTCAAATCAAAGGAGCTTCAACATGTTTGGAACTCTCTCTTCTTCACCACAATATTTGGTTTTTATGGGAGAAGCACAATAGTGAACTTTTCAGAGGCAACGCCACTACTTAGTGGATGCTAAGTCTTGGCCTTTTCATCCCTCATAAAGGATGATTGTGCATAACCTCTCCATACAATGATGTCAGAAGATAAGACAAGTCAATATTCTGATCTCTTGGTCCATGCCTCCACCTCAGCAATTTAAGGTAAATATTGATGGGGGCTTATTTTCGAAATCTTAGTTTAGCAAGAAGTGGTGATAAAATAAAATATGATTGTGGCCAATTCATTGCCGCTTTTGCAACTCCACTAGGAATTGCATCAAACAATTTTGTTGAATTTAGTGCAATGGAGCAGGTACTGATTTGGCAATTCAGTTGCAAGGCTTCCCTCTGATAATCAAAAGTGACTCCACCCTCCTTGTTAATTCCATCCATTAAAAGCCCCCTTGGTCACTCCATGCCATGGCAGACAATTGCCAATAGAAACTTTCCTTAAATAAACGTGATTGGTGAATTTCACACATCTTTCATGGAGCCAACATGGTGGCTGACAGTATTGCTAAGAAGGCTACTACTTACTCTGCAGCTACTATTTGGCAGTCCATTCCTCCAAATTTTCTTTCCTTATTGTTGCTTTATGATGTTGCATGGGTGCTCTATGATAGGGTTGTATTTTTCTGAACTTGTATATCCTTTTTGTTTGTTTTAATGGAAAAACGGGTAAGGGCCCATTGATTTCCCCCAAAAAAAAAAAATTGTTTTTGTACCACACTAAGGGACTCCACGCTCTCTCACACTACTAATAAAGGACTCTACGCTCCATTTGGAGGTTAACTTATATCCACATCAAGCCACTCAATGCAAGTGAGACAAGTTCTTCTCGTCAACAACGCGAGCAAGCAATGAAACTACTATGAGTGGAATCTATACTGCACTAGAAAGCTAATTAAATATTATACCATCGCATAGTAAGGTATATAGTATGGCGAGATTCATGCACCTTTGGGGACATATTTGATGTCGATGGCTTTATTCACGTCCTGAAGGATGACATTAACATTGTAAAAGAGTTACCCGGAAGGTTCTCATGGAGCACTAGAAACTATTATGCTACTACCATTCCATCCACTAGAGTTAAGACAACCATTATTCAGGCTTCAGCAAATTGGTATCTGGAGAATGTTTTACCAATTTTGCAACGATAATTTGAATTATTGGGCTTTTGTTAGAGACATACAAGTTCTAGCGACATTATTATTTCTTTTTGTATAAATTATTTCAACCTCTAACTGGGTTTCTAATTTGTAATCTAATTTGATAACGTAAACAGTACGGCAAGTGTTCTTGCACTCAAACTTCTATCGCAATGTTGAGAAGTCCTGCAGTTGAAAGGCACTTGTTGTCCTATTTTATTGGATTGTTGATGTTGTCATACATTGAGTTCTCGCATTCATAAGAGAAAAGGGATTCTCAAATAGGGAGATTGATTCATCCATTCACATTGCATGGAAATCAACATTTAGAAATCAAAATCTAAGAAACTTAGGTAGTTTATTTTTTATTTGATAAATAACTTCACCATGGCCGGTCCTAAGCCGGTAATGCCAGTCCCAAGCCCAGATAAAGGAGGAGGGTTGTGTTAGATAGGGCAGCCAGCATAAAACTTTGCTAAATCTTTTCATGAATCCTGAACCTATGGCGGTATAGGACTTGTGTTGCCGACCCAAATAGTTGGGATAAGGCTCGGATGATGATGATGATGATGATGATGACGTCCATAGCATAATATGGTATGGTATAGCATAAGATAGAACAATATAGCATAGTGAGTCCTGTAGTGAGGCATCGCAAGTGAAACAATGAAGCCTACAAAATGAGAGCTCCTCATCGCGCAACATGGCTAAATCCATATTGTCACACTAGCACTAGTGTGAGCACGTTGTATAGGTTGTTTCTATGTTTCAATATGATCGGATAGTTTTTCTTGGTGTTTTTTATGATTTAGATTCACCAAACCCCTCACAACCTGAAACCAAATCTAGGGTGATTTAATTGGCCATTGCAAGCATACCATTGTTCATGCATTCTAGTGCACAAGTTTCAGCAAATCTATCCCTTATGTAGTATATGGATTTATAATATAGCATCAGCTACCTCAGCTGATGTTCATACTACCGTTTCTATTCATCTGGATGATAAGAACAATGCCACGTGGCCATAGGGAATTTTATTACAAAAACTTTGTCATATAGATAGATGCTCTGACCTACATTGATCATACGTTGGATATATCTACTGTGAACATCAGGGAGTTGGGTCCATGGCTAATGAATAATGCTATAACTGTAATATGGATCCTCAAGTAGACATATATTGCTATTGCATCAAATCTTATCCAATTTATAAATGCAAAGGAAATATTAGCTCTTCTTGAGAAGGTTTATTATCAAACCAATCATTTAGATGTGTAATGTTTGGGCCAGGACTTTGTTTCTGCCACTCATGGCAACAAGAAGTTTCAAATATTAGACTTCAATTGAGTGTGATATGGGGTTAATTCAACAGGTAAGAACATCAATAACCAGCAGAAGCCATGTCTTATTACAGTCTGCAAACAAAACATGATGCATTTTTAAGGTGACTGTACCAGTAGTATGGTATCACTTCATTCACAGAGCTACATGGGAGACAGGGCAATCACAAAATCTCATAGTGATTAGTTCTTGTGGTTGCTGCTCTTTCATGAAGCACTCAAAGAGATCTCTCTAAAGCACAATATCAAGGATTATTAATGTGGAGATATAGGTTGCAACGCCACACAACTAAGAAAGGGCTGAAGTGTAACTACTGCAAAGATTCTGGAAATGTCATCAGTTGATGCATCCTTTCAATGAAAAAAATCAGAACCGACATATTGTTAGTGTCTTAAAACCTGCGAGTTCGACTCCGACCCAGGTAAGTTTACCAAAAACAGCAACCTACTAATTTCTTGCTTGAGGCCCTACTGTACACTAGACTGCCAAGTTCTAACAGTGACTCGGATAGCTTTTTGTTGGACTTGGTGAAGGCCAGGGGACTCAAGCGAGTCCTACAGGACTCACCTAGTCCTATACATTTTAAGACATATAGGGAATAAAACAATCATGCCTCCCTTTCTTGCTCGTTCTTTGCATCTACTACTCCAATCATCCTGAAAATTCATCCCTAACCATATATTTTCTATCATTTGTTGAATCCGACACTTAGATCCAACAAAAGAACACTCAAAATCTCATGTTAATGCAAATTAGAATATCAAAATAGGATTCGCCCTACCCCCTTTTTCGCATGATGACTCAGCCAAGTCTCAGTGAGTCAACTCAGGACTCACTGAACCGACCAGCCCAGGGCAGTGGCTAAGTCCCAGAGAGATTCCAAGGATTAAAACCACTAGTTTTATCCACTACCTTAGATGGCTCCTCTAATGTCTAATTTTGCGTCCATTTCATTCACTAGTTCCTCAAGCCTCACCACCTTCTACATAGGTAACACTTGGAAGAAAAAAGGGCATAGGTCATAGTTTTTCTTTTTTTATTGATTGATGACAATAATTGAATTTTTTGATGATCGATTGCCATTAAGTTAAATCAAAAGAAACACATAAAATTCCATCTGGAAAATGCCATATCCTTTTAAGACAACATGAAATACAAAATATCCATCCCATTCCTCTATTTTTTTCTCTGAAATTATCCATCCCATTCCTCTTATCTAACAATAACCAGGTTGTCTTCCATGGCTTTCACCTAGCGACATGAAAGAAGTCATCAATAAAAGTTTTGATAATAAATCTGGGAGCTACACCATAGAGTTCCATATATTAGAAATTCAAGCATGATAGCCTTAATTATAATCGTGTCATGTAATATCATGAGATTTACATGCAAATGTCAAGCCATCTCATGCAATAATAAAATCCACCAACTCCTCCTTTTTCGAAGTTAACCAACCAAAAGAAAAAGCAAAAAAAAAAAAAACTGCACAGGAAAAATAAACCAAAAAAAATATAGCATTGAAGTAAAAGCTGATATATTGAAAAGAGAATTATGAGCCAGCGAGCATACGTCATGTCCCTTAGGCGGCATTCTTGAGGGGTGACTTTTTCTGCAACAGTGTTGGTATCATATGATGGCGTTCCGATGGATACATCAAGATACCTAAACAAGTCCAATGATGATCAGAAGAATTTCATCGATCGTTTACCAATGGACTATGAACAAAACGTAAACCACTAAGGATTTGAAAAATGAAGACTGAAGAGAGATGAAGATTGTATACTTGAAAAAATGTTGCCAATCCAAATTATAATTTTAGACGACCAAAACAAATTAAGAGAAACTATGCATACCAGAGAATGAAATTTTTCCGCACAAAAAGACTCAATAAGTGAAAGGAAAGGAAAAAACATAGGAAGAAAATGCATATATACTTGAGAGTATAAGCGGGATCGACTTCAGAGGTGATTCTTTCATTAGATGGCGCATGAACAATCTTCTTAATTTCATTGTTCACAAAATAATTGAACGAATCAATGTGTTGCTTCACAAGCCCCCTGATCTGTTAAAAATCCAAGGCAAATACAACCAGAATCATTAAATTCACCGGCTAATTGAAAATAACTGGAAGTTTGAGAAGAACACAATGATGATGATGATGAATACCTTTAAGAACTCTGGGAGCAACTGAAACTTGTCGACTGCTGTTTTAACAGGGCGAGCAGCATCATGAAGCCTGGAAAAGGACTCAAAATAAAGTCTTTTCAAGCAATAGAGACGAAGTAGATGGAAAAAAACTAACTATATATACTTGACAGTGAAATTTTTCCAGCCAAAACGAAACAGACCGAATAACGATTTGAAAGGAAATAGTAAAAATCCTATCAGTAACACTTACAAATCTACTTTCTCCATTGCTGGAGAGACAGAGAGGGGCGCGTTATTGTGTTGTAGAGAGAGAAAGAGAGGAACGTTAGTTTCCTCGTCGGAAGGTTTGAGAAAGTTGTGAGTGAAAGAGAGAGAGGGAGAAAGAGAGAGAAGGGGGAGAGGTGCGCGATTGCGAGTTCTGAACCGGGAGCTGCGGGGAGAGAGCTGTTTTTGTAAGGCCTAGGCTTTATAAAGACAAAGTAGAGCTTCACCTCAAATCCTTGCCTGGAAATAGAATATTTTGTGTATCCATGAATACTTCTTTTTAGGGCAAAATAGGAGGTTTAATATTGTATTATGATATACACTATTTTTAGGGTTTAAATTCTTAAATTCTTATTTTTTTCACAACTATAGTGGTCAAGATTGATTTGAAGGTTTTTCGATGCTAAACTACAATTTTAAGTGATTTTTAAAATGAGGCTTTACTCGTTTTGATAGAGATGTGACCCTATCAAAATATTTTCTATTTAGTTTTAACATAATTTACCGGTAAATTATGATAACCTTTTCATTACGATAGTATACTATGGGACCATTTATTTTTTTACAAGGAGTTCACAATTACAACTAACTATTAAATGTCAAATTAGATGGCTTGAGATATCTCACGAAGTTCAAATTTTTTATTTTTTCCTTTGTGTCTAGTTAGTGACACTCTTGCAAGTATCTAATCTGAAACATGATCGACATTAACTGTTTTGTGACCTCCTTGTAATCAAACATGGTCTTTTTTGTGTGGTTTTCCCTTTCCTCCATGCTAAAAATGGTGTTCGATTCTTGTAATTTTAGGGCCCACATTAATTCTAAGGTTTAAATAGAGTGTACGCCTACTTCCTCGACGAAAATACCTACTTGGGATTATTTTAGCATAGGACCAAATTCAACCTATGTTTTGAGGTAACAATTGTCCGTCACCCATAAAGATAACTTCTGGTGGTGAAAAGAGTTGTGGTGGCTAGAATTATTATTATTTTTTTTTGACCAGCAACAAACTTTTAAGTTCTAAAATTGATGCACATCAAATAGATCTATAAACATTTGAAAATATTGAAAAAGAAAGGTACTTGTAATGCGCTATCCACTATACAAATCTATATATACTTAATGGATGCAATTTGTATAGAGCAGAGTAAAACGTGCCTTCAAAAAGATTCGAGAAATCTGGGCTCAATACTAGAAATCTTTGTGATAGCCTCAAAATTTGTTTTTATTTTTAATTATAAAATTTAAAGCTTCAAAAATAGTGTAGATCGAGCATATTTAGGAAAACTTGAAAATTGACGGTCAAAAAATCGTTATAAGATGCAATATTTCCAAAACATGAAATTCATTTTTTCTCATGTCCATGCATGTTGATGTCGAGATGCTCAATTCTTCCATAATTAGATATGTAAAAACTTGAAAAATCATGAGAAATAAAGGTCCAAATCAAGGTTTTTAAAAAAAATGGATTAGTGACCCTAGACCGTGCATCTGGAATTCTGATTTAGTTTGGTAGATCAGCAATTTAGACTGGTGATATGGTCTAATAAATAGTCTATTAAAAATAAAAAATACTAATTTGTGAGGCCAGTTTAGAACATTGCACGCAACAAAGTTCATCCTCGATAGGTCTATAACATGGGTTAACGTTAAATCCATACCTCTGTGTGGACGACTTACTGGACTCTACATGATGAGGTACCGTAGTGCATATTGTTTGTAGATGACATAATTTTGATCAACGAGACTCGAAGCAGCATAAACACGGAGTTAGAACTTTGGAGAGATGCTCTAGAATCTAAAAGTTTTAAATTAGTCGGACAAAAATATAGTATATAAAATACAAGTTGAATAATAATAGGTATAGAGACATGGAAGCAGTTAAGACTGACGGCCAGGAAATATCGAAAAACCACACTTTCGATATTTTGAATTGATAATCCATGAAAATAAAGAAATTAAAGAAGATCTCTCACACAAAATTAGAGTTGGATGGATGAAGTGGATATGTGAAACTGAACTTTTATTTGATTGTCGCATTTTAATGAATCTAAAGGGCGAGTTCTATAAAATAACTGTGATACCAACTTTGCTTTGTAGAGCAGAGTGTTGAGCGGTCAAAAAAATAATATTATCCATAGAATGAGTGTAGCGGATATGAGAATATTAAGTTTGATGAGTGGCAAGACAAGAAGAGATAGAATTTAAAACAAGTCTATTCAAATAAATTTAGATACGGCATCAATAGGTGATAAATGAGAGAGAATAGACTTAGGTGGGCTAACATATGTGGTGCAAACCAAGTACAACACCTGTTAGAAGGTGTGAGTTAGTTAAAGTGGAAAGTTAAAAAAATGCAAAGATTGGCCCAAAAGACATGGTTGGAAGTAGTGAGAAAAGATATGATGACATATGGCATCACTGAAAGTGTGACACTTATAGAGCATAATACATTGACCACGATTCATGTGGCCGACCCACTTAATTGGGAAAAGGCTATGATGACGATGATGATGAAGTTCATCCCTGATGATTCCTAATTATGATCAGATTGACATTTTTTAAACGTCCAAATAATGCATTATTCATTAAATTCATGATTGCTTTTCTTTTTATATCTATATACACCTCAAATTCAAGATGAACAATGGGAGAGTTTCTCCAATTTCGTAACATCATTTTGAGATGATTTTTAAGACATGCCTTACCTTTTTTCCATTTAGGGGAATGATTTCATCTAACCATGTCAATCTAACAAAATGAAAACACCCTTCTAAAAATCCATGTTTATGGCCTTTGTATGAACCCAAACATTGCACTACCTCTCTCTATCCAATAATCAATCTCCAAAAGGTGAAATTCAAATTGCACCCCCATATATGATGAAAATGAGTCGCTATCCAATAATAAATCTAGATTATTTATTTATTGAATTTTAGTATGTATGCTTTTACAAAATTAAAATCAATTTTTTTGCTTTTTAACTTTTTTCATCTAATAATATTAAAGGCATCTAAAAAAATTTAGATGGGTAAATATAAAACATTTTTCATCTAAAACATTTTTAACAATTTTGATTTGGGATAGAGATTGTATTCTTATTTTTAAGGTTGAAATATAAGATAAATAGTGCCAATTAGTTATATATAATTAAAATAGTACACTTTATTATGGTCCTAATAAAAAAAAATCATTTGCATAACAATGGCTTCATTTTTCTTTTCATTTTCTTTATTTTTTAGTGGTGGTTTGAACTTATGATATAAACAAAAGACTATTCAAGAAATTTGCCTTCAAATTATAGGAGCCTACAATTGCTATTTTGACCAAAGCATTTAAACCAATATTCTTATGGTAAAAAATTAAATAATCAAAAGCAAGAGGTAGAGTTTAAATACCGGCCACATAATACAGTGGTTTTTGGGAAGAATATACTACATGTAAAGTAACTTTTCCACTCATTACAATTGAGTTAAAAGTTTAAGTCGGATTGCCGTTCACTTGTTGTAAGTGTTGCATCAAAACCATAACAAACTATGGTGACTTCGATATCTAAAAGACATTTTGAAATAAAGGCTCCATCTCACTCTCATGACTTCATAACAATTAGGAGACAAAATCTATTTTTGTCTCTTCACCAATCATAACTAGAGAAAGTGGCTTGTAAGGACAAACATGGGAAGAAAACAAATTCTCTTTTATTTTCACTTACTATATCCAAGGAGCAATTTCTTGTATCAGTTGCATGTATTATTCATTAATAATATGTTGCAAGAATTTTTTATCCAACAAAAAAAAAAAAACATGTTGCAAGATTTAGCTAATAAAAATTTAAACGCAGCACGACTAACTTATGGCCTAAAACAACCATGATACATCCTTTTATATAGGGCTCCATATTATAATGGAAAAAGTTATAGAAGGTTGCAACCTTAAAATATAGAATTAAGGTGCACGTCAAAAAATCATTATAAAAAGTTGTTTTGATTGTGAAAAATGTTGGAAATGTGGCCTATGAGCCCTTTTTCTCTTGAAAAATCATTTTTTTCAATAATGGCACAAAAGCCATATTGAAGTATATGTGAAATCCCATATGGTTAACATGAGGCAATGTCATATACAATGATCCATTTTTAAGCTTTAATAGGATGTATCACTGGAGGGAAAACCCAGTAGTGTATTTGGATTCCTTGTAAATTGTTGGAATGCTTAGATGACATCTCATTGTATGAGTCATTAGCAGATTAATGACAGGTTTAGCTCATCACATAGGATTAACAGTTTGGTAACAACTTGTTAATCCTAATTAACTGTACTTAAGGGAATTAAGGTAGGACTTACATTTGGATCTCAACTCCTATAGACCATGAATGCGAGAGTTACTAAATAAAGGTGTTCTTTATAAAAGGAGGATAACCCCTCTAGAAAAGAAAATAAAGATATAGAAAAGAGATAAAAGAGTTTCACCAAGAGGACTCTCAAGATAGCCCGTCACCGGATGGCTAGGTCTATAGGATTTGGTATGGAACCTTAGGTCTCTCGCGTAATTTAAAGACTGATCTGAGTAAATTGTTTATCGATTTCAATTTTATTTATTTATTATTATTTTCATTGGGACTAACAATGGTAACATTGCTGGAATCACATTTGACCTGTATAGCTGAGAAATGTGTGCTGATATGGAGTTGAGGATTTAGCTATACCTTGAAATTCAGTTTGTATTGTTTCTCTTTCCATTATGATTTCCAAGAAGGCTCTTTCTCTTTCATTTCACTCTAGCCTTTACATTAGTTTCTCCCCTTAAAGCTATATTCATGAAATGGTAGCAGGAGCATATTGAAGTTTTTTTAGTGTATCACTCTCTAGACTTGCTTCTTTATTATTTTTTTTCAAGCTCTTTTCCCTCTCTCTTAACATATATATCTCTCTCTCTTGTTGTGATCCGTTTACCTCTACTACTCATTTGAACCTAATCATAGTGGCCCTTCTCATCTTAAGATTGTTGGTTTAGAAAAGGATTAGGAAGTGGTTATGTTACTTTGTTTGTTGGCTGAAAATAAAATGTTGGTTCATTATTTTTCTTTCCTATTCGATAGCGGATATTGTTAGGAAATCAGTCATGTTTTATGCATTCAATTATTGGTCAGCACCAAAACATTCTGA